AAATTTCTTTAATTTTCACCATTTGCTTTATTGCACATAAAAGTATGTGCGAGTTACTGTTACTTTAATGAGCGAGTTACTGTTTTTCCACCTTCTGTAACTATATTTTTAGCGGTATGTGTAAATGAAATATTTGATGATGGTTTATTTTTAAGCAAATAATGTTGTATGTCTGTTGTTAAATTTAAAGGCCACAAAGAAATGTCCAAATTTTTCAAAACTGAAGTATCATTAATAGTGTTAGGAATATATTCTACATTTTGAATTTTTTCTTCATCACTTGGATTTTAGGTTTTCTCCACAATATCTGGTATGCCTCTTATGTTTTTCATTTCTATTACTTCAATTTTGGTTTCATTGCTTTCTGTCATTTCTGCATGTATTTCCTGGTTTCCAGAATATTCACTAACTTCCTTTTCCATAATCTTTGCTTCAGACTGAACTTCTGCATCAATATCATCTGTTTTTGTATTAAACAACATATTTAAACAGAGCACTTTTTTGTTTATTTGTTTCTTCCTGCATTTTGTTCTTATGCTTTCTTTTTATGGCATTTTCTTCTTACGCTTTCTTTTTTTGGAAGTGTGGCAATAATTGATTTTATATAAATATTTATACAATTTATTATATTAAAAAGCTTCTTAAACATTTCAACTAACTAATCACTTCCAGAAAAGTAATATTTAGTGACAAAAATAATCTCTATTCTTGCTATGTTTAATGTTTTTACTAGACTTTTGTGCACCATGCCATATGCACTCAATATCACGTGCCATGCCCCACCTGCAGATCAGCTAGTCAGTGAAATGTTTTCATGTACAGTAGACCCTTTATATCAGTCCTTCTCAATAAAAAAGGAAACCTTAAGATTTAGATTAAATTTAAATTGCATATATGGATAAACTTTTATTTATTTTGTGAAATGAAATGAAAATTTTATTTTTACATTTTTATTTCAAAGTGGACGGTTTGATTGCCTCCCCCCTGCCATATCCTGGCCTTAGACATTTTTCTTATTTGTCTATGCTGTGGTCCGGCCCTGCCTATGCAGCCATTCTGTTTGCCAGGCTTTAATTCCTCATGACCGGTGTATCATATATGCATCATTACTTAATCCTCCTATATGACGGCAAGACTATTAGTGCAACTCACCTTGGAGGTGGTGTGTTGTTGCAGTAGTACGATCTTGCAGGATGGGGTATTTTGCATTGCTAAACCTAACTTTAAAGAAAATTTCATTAAAAATATTTTTTTATCAATTGTTTTGATTTTTTTCTGTAGTGGTATTTAACAGCAATATAATGATAAATACAGAATATCAAGAGAGTCTAAAAAAATTTAATTAAAATCTAAATGCAAAATAAAATATTTGACGAAATGTTGTACAAAGCTTATCTAAATCTGTATCTAAAACATATGTGAAACATAATAAAATGTATGGTTAAATATGATGATATAAATGATTAAAAAGGATACTGTGTGTGATAGGTCTAGTCGCTAGCATTTTATAAGTTGTGAAATACATTTTCAGGTTGAACCTTTTAATTTATCCCAGCAGAATAATTAATTTTAGTAATTTCCCGCATTTTAGATACATATACAGCAGTGTGTTGATTTTGGATGAAGATAGATTTTCACTCATCTTTTCTTTATATAAATTATTAGTTTCTTCAGCTGTTATGCTCATTAGATCATCATAAAAAAGTTGTGAAAAAATCAATTTCATTTGCATATTTTTGAATTAAATTTACTTCTGCAATTCCCATAAATTCATAAGGCTTCAAAGGTTGAGTTTATGATGGAGTAACCACTTTGAGTGCTGCATTGTGAGGTGATAGCAAAATAGGTTTCCAGTTCAGTCTCTGACAAAATTTCAGTATCCAAGTCACTCTCCTCACTTAAATCTAGGATCTATGGTGTCAAAATAGTCATTCATTGCCTCATTTACAATTTAAAATATACTCTTCCTTGGTTAAAAACTCTTTCTGTTAGACATTGCACGATTAGTTGAATTCTCTTCACCGATGCAAAAAACTTATGTCTGCTATCAAAAGAAATGCAAATTGAATACAAGGAAGAGTTCCAAAACCACAGCTCCACTCCCAGTCTTCCCAAAGGTTAAATAAATAAATTGAAGCCTTGAAACTGTTTAATGTTTATATCACGTGAAGCCTCAACTGCACTTCAGCTGGGTTTTGTTTGCTTTATATCTTCTGTTCGTACATCTAAATGGATCACCAGAATCAAAAAGTTCTTTACAGACACAAGATCAACAATGTATATGTTCAAATAAGCTAACTGTATAGATATGAAGCTCCATCTAGTGATTTAAAAAAAATTTAAAGTAACATGTAAGCTTGAAAATGCATATCTGATGTACCCTTCTGGAAGATCAATGCACCAGTCCACCACCATGCAACCAAGGTGCAGCCAGGCAATGCACCTTGGCTGCTAGTGACATTTGGGACTCATGCATATATGACACACCTATTTCCAGAAGGCTTTCAGTTCAGCAAGATGCTGTCACGAAGAGGTTAAATCTCTATTGAGCTATCAGTATTCAAATTTTCTTACTTAATTAGCCATTGGTGAGCATTAATATTGCATCGAATTTACTAATATCCGCTTTGTATTAAATATTACTAAATTCAGCTTGAAATTATGGTATGCTATTTTTATGGATTCTTAAATATTACATAATCAGAGTTGCCAACTCTCCCGATTTAGGGAGACTCCCGATTTTCGACCGCTCTCCCGCCAACCCGATTTACAATATATTTCTCCCGACTTTTTCTTATTCTTAAAATTTCTCACGATTTTATGGACTTGGCTTATCTTTGTTAAAAAAAAAAAAAAAAAAAAAAAAAAAGTGATGTGGACGTCTGAAAGCAATGAATTTTCTCTAGATATCTAAAAAAAACCTTGTAATAGATCTTCTTGCTTTGTGAGAGAGAGCCTATCGTATCCAGGAAATTTTCTCAGTTCTCCAATGGGCATCCATGGCTCACTGAGGTCATCTGGCATTTAGCATGAGAAAAGCAAGCTGTTATTTGGATGTTCTTTATTATGGTCATTTTGTCCTGAGTTGTGTGTTACACGTGCCTTCGGGAAAAGTTTTAGAAATTTCATTCCTTTGGTATGTCGCGAGAAAATGAATACTCGTGTACGTTAAAAAATCTCAAGTTGACTTCCTCCCTTTCCCCGGAATGTAATAAATTTGCGCTGTGTACGCCTGTCCTTGTGATTTCGATTTCGCATGGTGAAAAGCGGATGTCTCAAACATGTGCGTACACAAAACACAGGACAACAGAGTTGTTTTGAAAAAAAATGGAAAATTAAATTTTTCTTCGGAAACAAAGGACCAAAAGGTTATTAATGCAGATATCTGTTTCTGCCTTTTTACAGAGCAACCTGCCACTGAATGCATCGGATCACGCTGCAGTTTTATTTAGAAAAATGTTCCCAATAGTGAAATCGCTAAGAATACTCAAGAATCAAAACAGGTGCCAATTGTTAAAGAACTAGATTTGAAAAATAAATCTTAGTTTTGATTGCATTAAAAAGCTCCGTTCTGCCTCTCTGCGGAAGCAATAAACCGATTCAAAAAACTGTATCCAATTGTTTGTTCAAAACTGTATCCAATCCAGAGTCTTTAGAAATGAATGCAGTTACTTTCGTTCCACTTTAGAAGACATTGACAGGTTTTAATATAGCACAGCTAATTATTAAACTTTAAAAAAAATGCAGTTCCTCTGGATATCTGCGTAGCACTTGGTGCCGATAATGCACCAGTATTGGTAGGCTTGAAGACTGGTGTTGCAGGCATCTTGAGAAAGAAAAAAATTCAGATTTGCAGATTATGAGGTGCACCTGTCACCTCAAATTAGCAGCTAAAAAAGGAGAAGCTTCTTTACCAATAAATGTGGATGAATGTTGTTGATATTATTATTATCTTGAAAGGAGTTCTAAAGGAAGGAAAAAAATGAAAAGTTCAACAACTGCATAACAGCAGTTTACAATTAGAAAAACTTGGATGAAGTATTAAAATCAGCTAGGACTGCCCCCAGTGGGTTTAATTGGAAAACTGAAAGATGCTGATGGAATTTTAAAATATAGTGAACTGTCTAGATTATGTTGGCCATCTGCCAAGTTCCCCATAGTAATGCAGAGTGTGAGAGGATTTTCAGTGTTGTTGGGAAAACGAGGAACTAAATTAGATCTAATATTAGTGATGACACATTAGAAAAACTTTTATTAGCAAAAGCAGCCTACGTGGCAATTGCTATGAACAAAATTATGAAATTTCTTTCTTAAAGAAAGCAAAATCTGCCACTGTTTATAACATTTGTACAAAAACTGATTCATTTTTTTAAAAAAATTTTTTTTAACGATGCAAGTAATAAAAAATTTTTTTATGTGTAAGGTATTTTTGTGTTGCTTGCATTTAAGAATTAGTTACTATTTAAATTCATTATCAAAAACTATATTTTCATCATTTAAAAAGTCTTTTTAACATTGTGAAAAATCTCCCGATTTCTTAAAAAAATCTCCTGATTTTTGAGTGTCACAGGTTGGCAAGTATGCATAATGCAAAAAATGGCATAATAGTTGTTTAAAAAATTTTCCATAATTTTATATTTAATATGCTGGAAATTCTCATATATAAAGGTTTCTCAAAAGGCAAAAAGGGAGCAGAACATTGAAATTTAATGTTTCAGATATAGTCTCCTTCAGAAGGTAAATGTACTTTGTACTAAAGAAAGTATTTTTGCATAATTGTGCTTATTAACAAAAAAAATGAATTACTGTTATTTTTAATTAATATATTTTTATGCTTATGAAAGAATATTGTGCTTCTGTTAATCCTGTTTATAATATTATTAAAAAAATTTGAGGAAGGTATTGTGTCATGGCATATTTATGTACTGTTATCATTTTTAGTTATATATATTATTATATATCTTCTTATGCACACACATTTTCAATTTTTGTTTGAATAGGCTGCTGAGAAGTTGAGACAGTTGCCCATAGAACATTACAAATTTCGTAGTTCTGCCAAATAATGGTTGTTATTTTATGTATGTATAAAAATTTAAAATAATTGAAGTAAAAATGAATTGTGATTCTTGTTTATACTTGATAAATGACAATTCTGTATTTTTAAGAAAGATGAATTTTGTAATGAATTTTATGCTTTTTAAATTTATGAAATAAACTGCATTATTTTCAAACACTTTATTGTGGTATAGCATTATTAAATGATATTCAGACGTACGGTTTTGGAAGTCTTTTATTTCAATACCATTGAGAATTTTAACAAATTAGGTACACAGATTGTAAATGACACTTTTAGAAAATATTACAAAATTTAGCAAAATACATAAAAATTTTTGTAAAATTTAAAAAATTACTGCTTTAAAATGATAGAAAAATAATTAAACACGACTTAGGTTTAGTTTCTTTAAAACTCTTCGAAAAAGGAAAAATTCCTAATTTCCACACAGTAACATCAATATATACAGTTTATATTTTTATTATAAAAAACATTTCTGTGGTGTTCTGTGTTGACTGAAATTTATTATATTGAAAAGTACATAAATTTATTGCTAGCTAGTTGATAACTTATAAATATCCAACACCAGCAGTTTTATATTAAAACCATGTGTACATTTTGATAATGTTAAGTATCGGAAGTAATACCGTTTTTCTTTACAAAAAAAAAAAGTTTTTCTTCAATATTAGAAATAAAAATACATAATCCTTTACAATTAAATATGTTAGAATTTTTTTATAAATAAAATATGTATTCAATTGAGCATAATAAATTGTATGAATTAAATTATATTTAAGATTAACATATTACATTATAATACATAAAACACAAATATACAGTTATATACATTTAATTTCATAACCTTATTTTTTGCATGAGAATTAGAAGAAATAATAAATATTATGTCATTTTCGAAACACTGTTATATTAAATTGCACATGTTTGGTTAAATGCTCAGCATTATTGCTTTTAATTAGTTTTTCACTTCAGTTTATTACATTACATTTTATGAATTTAAAAATCTATCTGTTTTACAACTGCTGGTAATTATTACAAATTCCACTTATTTATACAACAGGGTGAATGAAATCACAAAGATTTCAGTACTTGAAGCTTTGGTTTCAAATTGTTGATAACTATCTGATTTATAACTTACTACCTTGGCACTAAAAGTTTTACACAATTATAACTCTGTACTCATTTCATGGCTATTATGAGATGATTGTGTTTCACTTGACTTTGGCACTTCACCATTTGGTCTTGGGGAACACTGTGTCCAAGATTGGGAAGATGTAAAAGTCTGAAATCAATAATATGCATTATTCAGTACTAGTTTGCTAAAATAATACTTTATTTATAATATCAAAAAGTAATACAGCACAAAGTCTTTAATCCGGACGTCCATAATCCGGAATGATCTATAATCCGTACCTCAAAGCTACAAACTTTCTGCATAATGCGTTTATGCATGCGCATAATATGTTTACGCATGCGCGTTTAATGTATAACAGACGGTATAAGCTAGGCTAAAATATTATCTATTTCAGTTAATGTTGTAGCGGTGTTCCTTAATCTTCTAATTGGATCCGGCTTATTTTTTGCAGAATTTTAGAGCCATTTTATAAAAAGTAAGCTTGAACTTTCGATTATGTCAAAAAGAGTTTCCCATTCTGGAGCTGCCAAAGGATCTACAAAGTGAAGGCATGTTTCGATGTACCGCTTCCGATAGTGAAGAAAGGACCGATAGGTTATTGAAAAAACAAAAATTCGATTGACAAGTTAGTGTATTCCGACACAGCAATTGCAGGGCGAACAGTGGACTAAACAAGAAATATGTCTGAATAAAGAGAAAGTATTAGCACAAAAAATGAAGCAATTTAAACATTTACATTGAAAGAATGTTTAATAATGTAACAAATAAATATTTTTTTTTTTTTTTTTTTTTTCTTCTTATTTTTTTTTTTTTTTTTTTTTTTAATTTTTACCCTTAGATCATATTGCTCTTTATTTCATAAATTACGGTTTCATATTTTTAATTTTATAATTTCTGCATGCCGTCTTACCACATTTAAATTGATGATCTGTAATCCGGAAAAACCCCTAATCCGGAATCGCCGAAGTCCCGACGCCGGATTAAAGACTTTGTACTGTATGAGCTATTAATGAATATCCTGAAATATCTTCAGAATTAAAAAGTCGCATTATTTATAATGATAGAAAGGATAAAATATCTAATGGAAACTAAAGAGAAATTTTCCCAGTGTCGCATTATTTATAATGATAGAAAGGATAAAATATCTGATGGAAACTAAAGAGAAATTTTCCCAGTAACTAGACTTAAAATATCTATGTTACATATCTGGGAAAGGGGACATGTTATATGCTGCAGTAGATTCACCAACTGGATTTAAATCAAATATAATTTTGGGATTATGTTTAATTAAATAAATAGTGCTGTTATGAATTGCTTCTGATATTGAAGGTTAGTCTTAAAATTTAATGTATTTATGGCCATCGCATTGGTGATATGCTCACTTGGTACTGCTTGCATGTGTAGCAGTCTATTAGCACCAATAACAAGTGCAGCAGTGCACGAGTTTTGCATGCCCTTGAAGATTATGACCTTGGGATTCAATCTTGAGTCTGTTATATGGTAGTCTTTAACCAAAAGAACTCCTGTGCGACAAATACTGTTAGGTTAGGTTATTTAATTACGACAAAGCCTCGAGGGCTATCTTCCTAAGGGGAGGGATGCCTTCGTGGAGGACTTTCTAAGGGAAACTGGCTCGTATACACGTTACACATGAGGAAAACCACGAAAACACCCATGTCTAACCTCAGACCCAACTACCAGTGTTCAGCGACTTTACCGCTCAGCTGCTGGTGGGCCTCCAAATACTGATATTTGAATAGCTTGTGATGATGAGCTCTCAAGATTACTACAGGTTTATGAAAAACTTCAAAAAAGGGTTTTTCCAGGGTAATATTTTATATAATTTTCAGTTTAAAATTTGATCTGGAATTTAATAAATGCAACTGTAAAATGTAATGTAAGTTTACACTGCTTGAGTGTAGCAAAACTGAATGTCGCATTATAAATTAATAACAGTGTTAATTAAGTTAATCGAAATAATCTTCATTTTTCAGAGTTTTTTTATTGTGGTTAAATGAATTAAGCTAAGTTTTGGTACTTTTTTGATTTATTCATTGTTATTTTAATAGAACTAGAAATAGTTTTATTGGATGAAAATCTTCTCTTTCCTTCCTTTTTTTTTTTTTTTTTTTTTTTTTTTTTTTTTAAATAGAAATGTGTTAGCATGAGTTTTAATACTGCTGTTGCATGCATATTTTGTCTTTCCAGATTTTGTGTGTATGTATATTATTTCCAGTGGAGTGGTCTTAATCCACATTATCCTTCAGCCTAAAGATGTTCAAGCACAGTACATAAAAAATATGAAATGCATTAAAAAAGTCACATGATTTGCAGAGTTTTCTTTTGATATTTTTTGGATGAGATTGCTTTAATTTACCATCTTTGAATAATGCCTGTTGTTGCAGTGACCAACTTTCCATCATAAAAGACATCATGGCGATCATGAAACTAAAGAAGGTCAATCAGTTTTTGTTAACCTTTTGACTGTTGATTATAGCCTAATAACTGTTAGCTACCTAACTGCAACTGACAAAGAATTTCTGACCAAACAAAATTAGAATGATTTCAGATTTTCATGGCTGGAGACATAAATTGCAGTAGAGTACAAGATGCATAATTTAGAAAGTTATTTAAATGTAGTCTTGCCACTTCTTGGTGTCAGAGCATTTTTTACAATAGCTTTTGCTTTTGTTTTATCTCAAAACAGCTTTTTGCCGTGGGAATTATTAATCAGCAATTTACTAATGTAGTTCATGTTTTTGTAGCTAATGCTATGTTTACTGTATGTGTGCAGTGTTGATAAAATCTTTACAGTGTTACCAAAGCTTTATCTAAATTTGAAAACACATCCATCTCCTGTCATCCATGCAAATATAAGGTTGAAGTCATGGTTGTTCTATAGTGATGCTAAACTCATGTTTACAACTAATACAATTAACTTTGTGAATAACAGGAGGCATAGACATTTATGAATGATAATGTTCTTATTTTCCTACATAAATTTCCTTGTTCCATGTCATTTTTATATTACAGTAGAAGTCCAGAAATCTGCAAAGCTTGGGACCAGAGGTTGTGCGGATTTTCGGATTTTGCAGATTTCAGGACAGGAAAGATAAATCATGATATTCAGACTAAAGTGCAAAATAAGGTGATTAGATACCTTTAATAAGTTTTTATATAGAAATATTATTATTCTTAAATTCATTATATAGATTCATTGTTTTATACCAGCATCTCGAGGTTTGCCGATTTGCCCCATGCAAGATTTGCTTCGATTCTGGTGTGAAGCAAGTTGCTGTAAAATTTCACACTTTTCTTTTTTTTCCATATATTATACACATCGTGTCGCAATCCATACGATTGCTACCGAGGATAGCACTGCCTCCATCTTTTGCAGAATTGCATTCATTATCGTCAATGCAACGTGTTTACGTTTTTATGTTGGAAGTAGTAAAATCATGAATGTGTTTCTTATCTGACATGTAAAAAGGGCTGAAATTTAAAATATTGTTAATTTGCTAATATCCACAAAATATTCGGATTAAAACAAGGCAGCACTAAATATCTTGTAACTAACAAGCTCAGAAAAACAACAACACAAATAGTGAACTTGAAAGAAGGGTTGAGAATCGTCTGTTTTACTCGTCAATTAGAGGGGAAAAACTTTTATCATGATTAAATAATTTGGTATTCTGTTGATTCTATTCGGTAATTACGTCATCATTCAGTAAGTATTTTTTCTTCGATATTTCGTACTCAATATTGCGGTTTCTGGAACCTATGAACTGAATGTTTATATTTTGAGAGGCAACGTGGATTTCAGGAGTTGGCGGATTTTCGGTATTTGACTGTATTGCTTTCTGTTTCACTCCCATGTGACTGGATGACACAAGAAGTATAGCTGGAGCACAGAAGTAAAATATGAACTAAATGTAGCATGAACAAAAGCATATTAGAGATTTAAAATGTTAATTTAAAGTCTTTTATTGTAAAACAAATTAGATATTTCATTTAGATGTATATCATTTAATATTATCACTTAATATCATCCGTTAAATGTTCAATATTAATGTTAATATTTAAATGTTTATTGGTGGGAATAGTTAAATGTTAATGAATCGAAAAATTTATAATATACAGCCATAGGTACCAAAAAATGTGTTAAGTATTGTCTTACTGACCAAGAACAGAATTATGCCCTATTATAATAATACTTTTAATGATGCTTTAGGCATACTATCTGATTTTGACGATTAACAAAATTAATCTTTTTCCAATAGCAAAATTGTTTTTCTTCCCCACTTTTTGAACTGAAATCAGCATCATATTGAGAGAGGGTTTTTCATTGAGACTGGTCTTATTAATTATAATTATCAGTTCTGATTTTTAAAAAAAACTCATAAAAAGCATTATCTTTTTTGATTATATTGCCAGTCACTTACCTTTGGATACTGTTTTGTCAATTCCTCATTCTGAAAGGTTACCCTATGTGTCATTGATGGCATTGTGACCAGAGATTTCTGTGATGTTGGATAAAAATGACCATTCACAAGTCTGTCAAACAAAACAAAACAAAAATGAGAGGAAAGACAGATAATTAATTAATTTATTTAAAATATTTGACAAATTTAAAAAATGAGATGCATTTTTCATTATCTGACTAATGAAATAAAATTAATTTAAAAGTGGTCTTCACATCATTTCAAATTAATATTGTATCAAATATTGTTTGTGTATAATTGAATACATAACTAATACAGTAGCTTGAATTTAATTCATGTAACTTAAATTATTTTATGCCAAAATGGCATCGACATAATTTAATATTTTATACAACCTTTATATTTACTCAAAACAAATTTTCATCTGGAATGCTTTTTATTTATCATTCAGATGATCTATCTCATATCTGATAGTACTTATCTTGTCAAATGACTTGTCAGCCCCCTTAATTGTTACAAAAAGTAAAGAGCTAAAAATGCATTAAGAGGATAATGTATTCATATATGAATGCATAGTTATTTTTAGAACAGTTTATTTTCATGTAGAATCTTCCATGGACTACATCTTAACATATAAAGCAAATCGTGCATTAATATCTTTTGTGTTTGAAGAGAACCATACTTTATTCATGGATACTTTTAGATAATGTTATGTTTATTTGTTCTGATAGACAACATTGCCTAAAATCTTTATTCAGCATCTTTTTAAATACATCCACTGATATAGGATTTTTCTCTAACAGATCCAGAATTCTGGGATTTTTTCAAAATTCTACATAAAATTTTTCAGTATTGGAATATTTTCTTCATCAAATTAAAATCCATTACTATGAAGGAAAGTACTATTAACCTTTTAACTGTCATGCCCGAGATAATCTCGGGTACAGTACTGGTGTTCGAAAATGTCACGCCCGAGTATTACTCGGGGTAATTTTTTTTTTTTTGAGTGCATCGTATTGTATACCTGAATATATCGGGAGACGTTTATTTCGGCTTCATCTCTTTGTCAAACCCGTCGTATCTCGGGAAAGTTATGTGCGCTAGTTCAATAGATGCAGCATACTGAAGATTTCAAAGGTTAGAGGTTATTTGTTCAAAGTGCAGGGGTCTTTTTGTTGTAAATAGCCTCCAGTTCTTGAAACGTTATATAGATGATTTAGATTCTTCACCGAGGTGAAGGATGTGTGTTTGATGAGCAGTATTTATGATACTTCCATGGTCAGCCTCAAAAAAAAAATGGAGAATACTCAAGCGAAGATTGTTTCTAATACGGTCAACTATGGTGGTGTAGATCGTGTGATCAGGAAATATCGTTAATCCGCAATCCGAAAACGTCAGAAAAAATTATAAAAAGATATTTTTTACATTTACAAACAGGACTCTGGAACTCATATTTGCTCTATAAAATGTAGTTGGGAAACGTATTAATTTTAGATTTCGATCCAAGTTGTAGAAGAGCTTTTACATAAATATGATGATGCAGCTTCTGGACAAAAGAACGTTGGCAGACCACCTACAATAGATAACTCTGCCTCTCTTACTGAACGACATTTTATATCCCAAACGTGAGCCTACGAGACAGTACAAAGTGTGGTGTTCGAAAAAGGATAAAAATGGGGGAAAGATAAGGAAGGAAACGCTAATAGGTATTCACTTTTATTTGTTTTTTTATTTATTTATTTTTTATCCCCCCTCCCCCCATTTTTAGAAGATAATGCTCCACTAGAAGCGAACTTTACAACTGCCATGTTGAGTGGTAGTCGCCTCAAAGCATATGCAGTGGCTACAAACTTTAAAACATTTACCCATGTACGTCAAATATCAATTTTTAACTACTTAAGTATATTTTATTTTGTACTAAACATTTGGTTTTTGCAATGAAAAAATTTGACAATTTGTGTACCCAAATCATCAAAATAACTCGACAGTTAAAGGATTAAATACAGCAACAGTAGCAGTTTTGAGTAATTTAGTGATTTCACCTTTTTTGGGGAATGGATACTTTTTTGGATAATGTTATGTTGTTTTGTCTTGGTAGACAGAAATTCATTAAATCTTTATTCAACATCCCTTTAAATATACCCAATAATAAGGGATTTTTCTCTAACAGATGCAGAACTCATGGAATTTTTTCTTTAATTCTACGTAATTTTTTTTAGCATTGGAATACTTTCTTCATCACTTCTGTATTTAATTAATATGAAGGAAGAGTACTACCAAATATAACTATTCTGGATAATTAAGTGATTACATCTTTTTCATCTTCACTATCAGTTATTATTAATAATTTTACTTTTCCCCCTTAATTTCTGAAATACTTCTATATTTTTTATGACAGTAATTCATGCTTCTAGATATATAGATCATCAAATTTTGCTCAACGTCAGGTGAAATGTTTACCCACCTGCCCTCAGTAACACAGCCACTGTTATTTTTTGATGATCTTGATGAACATATGTCTGACAATTTAATTCATCCTAAATATACTGCTTAAGATTCAAATGGGGATTTTACTTGGACAGAATTTAATACTAAATAGCGACATCAGTCGAATCCTAAGATGCAGTCTCATATCATGACACATTTCCTAAATTATCAGGACAATGCAGTTTTAAAAGAACTGTTCTTGCAATCCTATTGTTACGATTATCAGCAGAGGCTGCATCTATGATAAAGAATTCAGGCTCAAATCTAGTGAGGTACGGATGCTTGTGACTGTAGTATCTTTGGGAAATGAGGACACTAAAGCACATTGATCTGAGAGCCTTTTCAGAATGCTGGTGATATGGAGATGAAGAGTATAAGACTTGATCACCATCCATTTTTGATCAAAATTTGTATAGTACTGGGAAAAATTATACTATCTTCTCTAGTGATGAAGGTCTATGACCAGTAACATTTTGAGCATTTTACAATATGTCACTCAGCATCTACCAATGACTGTAAGACAAGTGGATTGATTATATCCAATATCTACCCAGGGAAATATTATAACTTGAGGTATGAAATATTTATATGTTATACTTGTATTAATGTCAGTATTACCTTAGGGTGCACATAACTAAAGACAAGACTTTATTATGACTTTTTTGCTGCTTTTTATACAAAGCTTTCTTTTCTTATTTATTTAGATTAAAAATTACTCCTTACCATTTCTAAGCCAATTCAACCTCAATTTTCTTCTGTTTGCATATGATTTCACATATTACTGGTATAAGGATTTGCCTAGTAAGTGAGATGTCTGATTTGAATCTATTGCTAATGTTGCAATCTATTAGCAAATCGTAATGAATGTCTGTTAAATGCAGTAAACACAGCATCATGTATGTTCATTGTTTGTATAAAGCTTATCAGGCATTGCTATGTACAGTAGTATTGCAAAAGTAAAATACTTTTCTGTTTTTGATGGTTTAGTATGAAATAATAAAATGATAGTAATATACCATCTTTGTAAATCAAAATGTAAGATCATTATGTGACACAACAGTAATTTAAGACTAACCAATGCAAAGAATGAGACATGTAAGTATTGTTGAATTAACATGGAAGACATTTAAATCATAAATTAATATTGACAAAGTTGGATAAATGTAAGAAGTTTTGAGGAAATTGAATTCCTTTTTGAGTAATTTTCTCGAAAATAAAAGCAAAAGAATGATTATTTGTGATGAAAGATTTGTAAAGTTTTTGTCATACTTTGCCAGAAATATTACTCATCTAATTAAAAATGAAATGCCAAATAATTGTCATTCCCTGCTACTGAAAAAAGGAATTTCAGTTTAAATTCATTAAAAAGAAATGCGAGATGTATAAACAAATAAATATTGAAAAAACATTTAATTTTTACCTTATGTTTTTTGTTATTTGATCCGTAGATAAATTTTGTACACTTTCTTGTCGCTGGGATGCTCCTCCTTTGAGAGTATTTTCTGGTGACATTTGCTAGGTAAATAAATTTTTTTTAAAATTAGTCAACATTTCTAAATTTATTTAATAGTTTTAAGATTCTAGTATTTATGAATAAGCTGTTTTCAAATCAAAATTTAATATGTAATTTAATAGTAACTTGGAAGACACTATGGTTAAAATGAAAGTTTGAAATATAGCATTTGTTATGCTTCATTAAAACTGTTAGACAGGAGTAAATTTTCATGATTAAAATATTTACCTATTTTCTAGGATGAGATCATTACTGAGTATAAGAAAAACAACATTGATTAAGTAGATTTTATTTTAGAAGCACTAAATTATTTTAAACTCTCCTTCTGCTTGTAGTATTTAGCTTTCATTTAGTTGCAGATGAAGATGGAATTACTGAAAGTGAACTTTTGGTGAATTCACTTTGTTAAATAACTGAAAGCGATTCTCCAGAAATCTGTTAGAATCTGTATCAGTCAACGTCTTGTTTTCTTTTACTCAATTGTAAGTTTTACTTCATGTATCTCAAGATCATGAATTTATGAATATGTGGCAATGTTATTTGATTCTGCAATTCTTCAGTATATTGTTTATTAAGTAATTATTCAATATTTATAATTCAGCAGTGTCATGCTCTATTTTTAAATTCATGAAAATAAAAATATTAGATAGCCTTGAAAATAAAAATATTTAAATATCCTTATATGACTGCTGCCAAGATAAACTCAGGGCTTGATTAGCATTAAGCAAAATAAGTGTGTGCTTAGGAATCAAGGAAAGAGAGAGCCAGGAAAGGCGGAACCACAAAAATTTCTCATTGGTAGCTTTCTCATGGAATGTATGGTGCAGCTAAACCAAAACTGAGAGAGAAGAAATGGGTTAAAAAATCTAGCAAAAATGTGTGTGAGCACTCTAAAATCTTTTAAGTGCTTGGGACATCTATAAGTCTTAATCCGGCTCTCGATAAACAGTCCGCATTATTCACTTGTTTACTAAAATTAATCCGAGATTGATATCATAATAATCAGTACTATGAATCTTTCATTCTGCTTAGTTAAGGTCGGTGAAAATATTGCGTTTGCATAAGATTTCAATAGAAGTGCTCTAGTAATATCTTTAAAACGAAGTTATAAAATTTAATTTCTCCATGATAATATATTTTAATCTTAGCTATGGAAATATAGCATGATGAATTATTAAAGAAAAGATTAAAGGGGGAGAAACAGTCTACATTAATAACTTTTAAATTATATATGTATTATGCTTAAAGTAGATGCAAGTTACTAAAATGTACTTTATTATCACGATCATTAATTCAGATGTGTTAAATAATTAACATAAAAAATGGCGCAGCTGTTTACTCTTCTTTCTAGTACAGCTTTCACTTTCATTTGTTTATTTATTTAATATCTTAATATTTTAATAACATGTTCACATCAGTTGCTATCCTAAATAAAACTGATTTTATCGATGGGAAACAGTAGCTGGCTTTCATATGAAATAATGACTTTGTGATGTGTAAACATTGAGAACTTTTTTGGCTGTCGCAAAAATGTGCTCATGCTGAATATAAATCAACATCTTTTAATTTAGTAACTAAAGCAGTTAAAAGCAATGATAAATCTCACACAAAGCAACTGGCGTTTTTCTTCCATAGCATAAGTTTATGCACTCCACCGAAAGAGTATCTTAGTGTATCGCAGTTAGTGCATTGTGGAGAGAGCGTGTTGAGCTCCAGGAGCGCCGAAGAGTCGGGAGCTGTGCTCTGTGTGTCGTCGAGTGCATCGCGAGTTGTAGCTTGGAGAGTCTCAAGAGTACATGGAGTTCCGAGAACGACCGAGCAGAGTCGGGAGCTGTACTCTGGTGATTGCAGTGAAGCCGATCGACCGTATAGCCTTATATGTGAGCATGTCGCGAGGTGTAGCTTTTTGTAGTAGATCTCGACGACTGTAAACGTGATTTTGGAGCTCCTGTTCCTTGTCTAAAACGTGTGTTCGATTTCCATCAAGTGCTGTCGTCGTTATTCACTCTAAATCCATACGAACCACGCACGAACTTGAAGTAAAGGAAGAAAAAAACGCAACAATAATTTGTTTTATGCAATATTTTATATGTTTTTACCCCTCCGTTCATTTATATACAGTAGTAACTCTGTAAGTCTGCTTTGAAATACGTTCAACTTAAGGTACGTCCTCCTTTGGCCATGAAATCTTTCGTTTGGTATGTAGTATTTGTCTGGAATACGATTCGAGTTCGATGAGTCATGATTGCGTACATTGGTCTTGTTTACCTCTTTGGAGGTAATGCTAAGATTGGCAATGGGCATCCGTATTTCTGTTGTTACTATTCAGTAAATAATATATGCTGTAACATGAAATTTTACGTGATTTTCTGTTTTTTCGCGTGTATTTTTTTTTTTTTTTTTTTTTTTTTTTTTTTTTTTTTTTTTTTTTTTTTTGTAAATACGTTAACAGTGAGTTTTAAGAAAGTTTATGAAAAGAGTCAAGCAATGAAGAATAGGGTTAAGTTCACCGCAGAGGTGGAATAAGAGATTGTTGAAAAGTATGAAGATGGCATGCATATCCGGGACTTGGCTATTGCATAACCTATGCCGAGAACAACGGTATCTATATTTGCGAAAAACAAAGACGCTATGAAATCGGCTAACGTGGGGCTAAGGGTGAAATTGATTACCAAGCATAGATCCGAGACATTAAAGTATGTTGAGAAATTGCTTTTTATCTGGATTATAGAGAAACAATTATGTACAGCATTTCATTTACATACAGTATATATTTCACGTACTCCATTTGTATTTAGTATTAAATAATGTTATAATAATAATAACAATGAGATATATTTTCCATTTATTCTTGTTGCTAAAGTTCATTTGGTACACGTCCAGTTTATACTTCAAGGATCTGGAACGAATTAATGCCGTATTCGTGCGAATTATGGTACGAATTGTGTACACCTGAATTGTTTTTGATACTTGTAGGTTATCCAGCATTAATTGATGCACTGCTAAAATCTGTTGCTGTCACTTGGCGATGAAACCAGGTTTTTTTCCGGTCTGATGAGTATTGTTTAGCATTCAAATTCAAAATGTCACCAGACAGATGGTTAGTGCCTGTAACTTATCTCTGATAAATAAGAAGACTGATAATTATGAGCTGTATCACACTGCAGCATATTCCACCATTTACTAGTCTTCATATACATTCCATTGTTTGCGTGTAGGGTTGCCGAACGATTGCAAGAATTAAGAATCATGGCTGGTTTCTTTTGGTGATGTATTGGCAAGAACCGTGTAACCAACAAGCACCTTGTTTTTCTACTTATTACAAGCTCAAATTTCAAATTTACTATATTATAAAAAGTTCTTAGTGTGTTAAGAATTTATTCAAGGAAAAATGTTTCACATTACTTGCAAAGTCAAATTAAATTTTTTTTTTTTTTTTT